CCCGCCTCAAGCCAGGCAGCCCCTGGTCAAATTGGTGCAAACCCGCCAAAAACCCACCTGCGTCTGGCCGTGGTCGCAGGTGCGTATCCTACTACGGTCGCAAAACATATAATAATTGTTCCAGTACCTCAAAGGCTGCGTGTGACGGCCGTCAAGCAGATCCCAATCTGTCTCTGCAATCACATTCCCGAGCTGGATCTGCTCCCCACTGCCTTGTGGGTCAGGCTATTGAGCCAAAGGCTCCGGGCGGAGTCCCTCAAGCAAACCTCCTAAACCACCCACTGCCTTGTGGGTCAGGCTATTGAGTCAAAGGCTCCGGGTGGAGTCCCTCAAGCATACCTCCGAAGCACAACGACCACCTCGCGTTCGATTGCCCACCAATGCAATCGTATGCCTGCGCGCAAAGCACTCAGCATCGGGTGCTGGAACGTGCGCACACTACTGGACCGGAACTCCAGTGAGCGCTCCGAGCGACGCACTGCACTGGTCGCGATGGAGCTGGCGCGCTACAACATCGATATTGCGGCGCTCAGTGAAACTCGGCTCGCTGAGCAAGGTAAGTTGCATGAAGCAGGTGCTGGCTACACATTCTACTGGGTGGACAATGCCGCCTCAGCAACACGTGAACATGGGGTCGGATTTGCAATATCCGATCGCCTCCATGGCCAGCTGGTGGGTGAACCAACTGGCATCAGTGCGCGACTGATGACTGTTCGCCTACGACTCGGAAGAGGTAAGTTTGCTACTTTTATAAGCACGTACGGTCCGACCATGTGTTATCCTGATGACACGCGTGATCAGTTCTACACTGAGCTATCCTCCGTGATACGGTCTGTGCCGAGGAGCGACCGACTATTTCTGCTGGGTGATTTCAACGCGCGCGTTGGGCGTGATGCATCAGCGTGGACAGATGTTATCGGTTCGCATGGCATTGGTTCAGCGAATGCGAACGGTGACAGGCTGCTCTCACTGTGTGCCACTCACGGCCTGACGATCACGAACACTCGGTTTGCACTGAGTGCGAGTGATATAGCAACTTGGACGCACCCACGGAGTGGTCACGCTCACCTGCTCGACTATGTCATCGTACGTCAGCGTGATATGCGTGAAGTGCGCATGACACGTGTACTGCGTGGAGCTGAGTGTGGCACTGATCACAAGTTGGTGCGGACCAAACTGTACATATATTTTCGTAAATCGATGTATTGCACTCCCGCCGTGAATCGGCGTAAATTTAACATTCTCTCCCTCGGTACTGTGGCGAAACGTACTGAGCTGGAGAAGGCGATGGCTGCACGCCTGTGTGATGTGGACTGCATAGCCACAGTGGGCGACCTGTGGCACCACATTCGCGACCAGGTGACAGCTGCTGCCGAGGAGACCATCGGGCGCGCAAACTGTAAGCGGCCTGATTGGTTTGATGACAACAATGTGACGATCGGCGCATTGGTGTCGGAGAAGAATGCAGCATTTGCTGCACATGTTGCCGACCCCAGTGACTTGGGAAAGAGTAGTCAGTTTCGCAAACTTCGACGGCGACTGACCCGAGAGCTCCGTCGCATTAAAAATGCATGGTGGACAGAGAAGGCGAAGCAGATGGAATGCTACGCCGAACGCCGTCAACACAAGGAATTCTTTGACTCCTTGAAGGCGGTGTATGGACCGAGATTGGAGCCGCTGAGGACACTGATCGATGGTAGTTCAGGCGCTACCTGCACACAGACTGCAGACATAATGCAGATCTGGCGGAAACACTTTGACTGTCTCTTGAACAACCGTTCAGAGATCGACTGGCCTACATTGAACGGCCTGAAGCAGCACGATGTGAAGGCGGATCTGGCGGATACGCCGACACTGGATGAGACGCAGAGAGCACTTGCTCAGCTGCGAAACGGCAAGTGTGCCGGAGCCGACGGGATCCCGCCTGAAGTATTGAAACACGGCGGACCCGCGTTGGTGACTGCGCTGCACCACTTGGTGCAACGCGTTATGGATTGAGGAGGAGGTGCCTCCTGAGCTGAAGGATGCCCTTGTGCTACCACTGTACAAGGGCAAAGGTAGCAAGCAATGTTGCACGAATTATCGTGGCATCAACTTGCTGAGTTGTGTGGGCAAGGTGATTGCCCGAATCCTGCTCAACCGCCTCGTTAGTCAGGTTGTGGAACCTAACGTGGCGGAAGAGCAGTGTGGATTCCGTTCGGGTCGCAGCACTATAGATATGGTGTTTGCGGCTCGTCAGTTGCAAGAGAAGTGCAGAGAACGACACCAGCCATTGTACTCGCTTTTTGTTGATTTCACCAAGGCATTTGATACGGTGAACCGCGAGGCATTGTGGCTGGTGTTGGGTAAGTTTGGTTGCCCGCGTAAGTTTGTAAGTTTAATTGAATGTCTGCACAGTGGTATGCGAGCGAGGGTGCAGCTGAGTGGAGAGACCTCGGATGACTTTACAGTTGTCTCTGGTGTGAAGCAAGGCTGTGTCTTAGCTCCTGCCCTGTTTAATACATATCTTCATGCAATGTTGTCTTGTGCTTTTGATGCGGCTTGTGCTTACGGTGTTCGTGTGGAGCACCGTATTGATGGTGGGTTGCTGAACATCCGTCGTTTCGGTGCGAGAACTCTAGTCTGTGAGACAACTATCCGTATGTTGCTGTTTGCTGACGACTGTGCGTTGTTTTCACACAGCGCGGATGAGTTGCAGCACATGACTAGTGCTCTGGCTTCGACAGCGGCCAAATTCGGGCCCACCATCAAAAGAAGACAAACTGTCTGTCTCTTTCAGCCTTCACCGGAGGTGCAATCTTCAATATTGCCGCGAATCAGCATTGGTGCTGAAGTATTGGAAACCAACTCCCGTTTCAGCTACCTTAGGAGTGTGATGTCGACTGATCAGCAGCTACACAGTGAGCTGCGTATTCGCGTGTCGAAGGCAGCGGCAGCATTCGGGAAGCTTGAGTACCGAGTGTGGAACAACCATCAGCTTACCATTGGCACGAAGCTGATGGTGTACAAATCCATGGCGCTGTCCGTTCTTCTATACGGCAGTGAAACGTGGACGATGTACCGTCGGGATATGCGATATCTCGAGCGGTTCCATCAGCAGTGTTTGCGACGAATTTTGCGGATCGGCTGGGGCGACAGAGTTGCAGACACGGAAGTGTTGCGCCGAAGTGGGATGTATGCAGTGAACTGCATACTTTTATTGAGACACCTGAGATGGCTCGGTCATGTGAGCCGTATGGATTCGACGCGGATACCGAAACAACTCTTATACGGTCAGCTGAGTATTGGGAAGCGTCACGTGGGGAAACCAAAGTTACGTTACCAGGACATGATTAAAGTGAGCCTCACACGTTCTAATCTTGATTGCAGATCATGGGAATCGAAGGCGGTTGATCGTGGTGCATGGCGCGATCTGATCACGAAGGCAGTTGCCGAAGTGCAGGAGAAAGCCCTCATGCATGCAGAGAAGAAGCGGCAAGCACCGATGAATTGTACTCCATCGACATCAAGCGCATGGTGCTGTAGAACATGCGGTCGCGAGTGCCTTAGTCAGGCAGGCTTAGTGAGCCATGAGCGATGCCACTCGGGACTACTACCGAAGCGACGACGGGTTCTGCAGAGAACATAGGCAGAACCGGCGCAGCGTTTGTAGGTACGCTGCATTCGATTTACTAACCACGTGCTTGTATGCTAAGTCTCTTTATTTCAGGTGGTGGGTTTTCAATTTTGTCCTAATGCCTTTATTTCTCCTATAAATGTCTAGTGTCTAGTGAGCCATGAGCGAAGCCACTCTGGACCACTACAGAAGCGACGACGGGTCCTGCAGGGAAGTATTGAAAACCGGCGCAGCGTCTGTAGATACGCTGCATTCTTTTTACTAACCGCGTGCTAAGTCTCTTTATTTCAGGTGGTGGGTTTTCAATTTTGCCTTAATGCTTTTCTTTCTCATATAAATGTCTACCTGTACTCTATTCCATTAACTTGCACACCTCGCTTAAGCCAATTGTATTCGATTTCCATAACATTTTTGTGTTCGTGGCATTTCCGTATAGTATACTTTCTCACCTCGTGAACTTATCTAGGATTCGTTTGTAAACAACTTATTGCATATGCTCATTAACTTAAGGTTTATGTCACCGTTTCCTTATGCATCAATCGAGTTATTTTCTTTCTCTCTCTCTCTCTCAAGTGTTTGGCTGTTGTTTGATATCCCGGTGTGGCTGCGCTTGATGTGTATGTTGACAAGGTGCCTACCTGTCTATTACCCGCTACCTCGTCCATACTGGCTCTAGGAGACAGTTGGTCGTTGCTGGAGGGGACAGGGTGCACGGTCCTTGTGGCCGTGTTAGGCTCGAAGAGTGGTTCCATGCAGTCAGTGTGGAGCGGACTACGGTCCAGCCACCGCCTTGTGTGTGCCTGATTCCCAAATACAGTGTGCTTGTGTTTGCCTGTGAAGGAGTGTGGGCCGGCTCCGTTGATGAAACGTGGTTTCCATCCGCATGCCTCCCGGTCTTATTCCCTCGGGTTTACACTGGATATGGGGTGTGTGGTTGGAGCTGTGGGTGGTGCAGTGCAAGCCATTCATGGTCCCTCTGTAGGCGCAGGCGTCCCGTGGCTTGCCACAGTGACAGGCAAATCCGAAACCGGATGCCGCCAACCATATATATATATATATATATATATATATATATATATATATATATATATATATATCCCCATGGGAAGAAGCAAGGTGTCATCGAAACCCAACTGCGAATCCGTGTGGGTAACATAGTTGACAAAGTAACGAGCTGAAACAAGCAGTGGTGCCCATGCGAACTCCATACAGTGTAGCCATGGTACCGGACAGCGTCGGAGGAAGTTAGAACGTATAAGCATAAAACACTGTCGGGGATATATCTATGTGCTACATTATCCCATCACGACACCAATGACCTAACAATCGAATGAAAAGCTATGGCTGCACATTTTGTATGGCGTGGGTGGCAAACTAAACTGACCTTTATGTTTCCACGAGGATCAAATCCGTCCAATTGGTTAATCAGTTCCAACATAGTTCTCTGCACTTCATTGTCACTGCCAGCACCATCATCAAAGCGGGCACCTGAAGGGAAGAAGAGTTATGGCAACCAGAAACAATTACCTCCGACGGCGTCGATTTCATCGAAAAAGATGATACATGCTTTCTTGCTCCTAGCCAACTCAAACAACTCTCGTACCATACGCGCACCTTCTCCAACGTATTTTTGGACCAACTCAGACCCGATCACACGTATGAAACAAGCATCTGTGCGATTAGCAACGGCACGAGCACAGAGCGTTTTGCCTGTCCCCGGAGGTCCGAAAAGAAGCATCCCCTTCGGAGGTTCAATTCCAAGGTTTACGAATTGTTCAGGCTGGCCACCAAAAAATAAGTAGAGGTTACTGGCCCATGGAAGGGGAAGAAAATATAAGAAAAGACAGGCAAAAACGATTTATCTATCATTTGTGATAGCAATACGGACTAACAATTCGTCCACAAACGAAGAAAATATCGCTTGAATCAGATACAGGATAAGGATCCAAATGGAGTAGCATTCAAGCAAAAAAGGAATAAAAGGGAACGAAAATAAGCGCTCTGCGAATTTTTTAAAACTGCCGAGTTATTAGCCATTTCTATAGGAAATGCGCAACTTTGAGGCATAAAGAGGTACAAAAACTTAGAGAAAAGTGGTGCATGAGTTAGCACACGTCAGTATATGAACAAGGCAGAAGTGAGACGGAAAGGTACGCACCGAAGTAGAAAAGTGTGAGAAACGTGTTGGTGAAAATCGTTGCATGTGTGAGCACAAAGGATGACAAGGAACGCGAAGCAGCTAAGGTACACCGTGAGCACTCCAAGATATAACGAGTGGTTGCAGTGCGTAGCAGTTGGCGTAATAAAAATGTGTCGTATAGCGCTTTTGCATAAAAACCCAATCGCAACTATAGTGAAGCAGAACCAGTCACTCTGCCTTATGCTTCTTGGGACATTATATCGGCCTATATACCGAGCAGAAACTAACCGTAATTGAACGGGCATATGATTAGCAATGTGTGTAAATGAACAAAGATGACGACAAAGTTGGAAGATCGTTGAAAGAATGGCATGTAAGCGCTGGAAGTGTTCTTGTGTGACCCTTCTGTGGGGGACAGCGACTGTTGAGTGTGCAATAGTAGAGTAGGTATAACCGTAGTTTTGTAAATGTTTCAAGGCACACCCAATAATTCGAAAGAGGAAGAGACAGTACGCAGGTTCGCAGTGCCGACGATTCGCTGCCGCGTAATGACCATCGGTCGCACATGCGCGGGTCGCCCTGCCCGTACGCAGGCTCGAACCCGCGGCCGCCAGATGAGCTTGTTACCTTTAGACTACGGGCCGACGAATGAGGAAGAGTAAAGCAGAAGCATAGTAGCATGAATCGGTCAAGAATCAAACGAAGAAACCAACGGAGTATAGTTAGGTTTAGTTGAATAACCACGATCGGGGCACCGGGGCGTGGCGGATTCAGTTTTCAAGACTCACTTGGCCAGGATAACATCAAATAGTGACAATAAGGTGAGGTTAAAGGTATATAGAATATAGTGAAAATGAAACCAAATAACCAGTATGGAGGGAATAGTAACAGCCAGGTGCAAGAAACTGGATGCAGGAGCGCCACGGACTGCATCATGTCCGATAGGATGTCCAACTACCGGTGTGGACCATCCAGTGGCCCCCTGCACAAAGACAGCATGCACCAACCTGAGAGTCTCTCAGTCAGTACACTCATGCATTTATGCCACGCCATAGACTGACCAGCTTACGGGTTCGCCTAACTCATTGCAATGTGGGCCGTTTGGGCCCATCGATGGCCAGCTACAGGGGACACGAAATGGCACTTCGGCACACACTGTGCCTAAATGCTGCTAAGGAACATCCGGTGCTCCACACATAGTTGCAACAGATGCTTACTGCTGTGGCGTCTTTTCGAAGTTAAGACAATGCTTAGCACCTAGCCCAACTTCTGAAGGCTCAGGCGACCCACTAATGCATTATTACTCCTCGCAACAATAATGAGATCTGAACTGGTACGCTGCATAGCAGTGGCCAGTTCGCAGTGGAATGCAGCCTCAGAACTGCATGTCGATGAGATCAGTAGCAGAAACCACAAGCAAACAACGTCTAGTAAGGCAACCTTGTTTGATGTATTCGAACGGGATATATATATATATATATATATATATATATATATATATATTGCAAAAGTCTGCTAACAGACATAATGCCATCAGAAACCATGGGATTCAAAAGAAGGTACAGAAACAGTAAAATAAAACACAACACAACAATGTCCATGGTTTCCTCAGAGGGGGAGATACTACCCGGTTGCCCAAGCCGAAGTAGGGTGTTGACTTAGGGGACACCACCCTGAGCCTTTGGCTGAATAGCCTGCCCACAAGGCAGCGGAGCGAATTCAGGGAATCGCACCCATTGGGAGCCGGTGACTGATTGCTCAGTTCATACGCCTTTCGTTTGTTCCTTTGTCAAACAGGGGCCCAATGCTCCCCAGAAGTACAGCATAAGGTTGCTGGAATACAATGCTTCGCCAGGATGAAGCAAGGGGCAGTGACTTTATTTAGTGTCGAGTCACGTCCGCCACGTCACAGTGTTGTTAAACGGACATACGTGGCTTGTTATAGGGAGAACGCTTGCCAGGCGAAAACCCACCAGGCCCTGGAACACTGCCGCCGAACCATTTGCTGGAACGGGAAAATCCCGAACCACCCAGCTGGCACCACGAGGAGGCTGTTCGGCAAGCCATGATATACACAAACGGCTGTTAACCGGAATCAAGGCAACCAACGGTGATTCAGTCTGAGTTGAGAACGAAGCGCACGCCAGCATGACCAGTTGTTGCTGCAACAGTGCCTCTAGATACATGGTCTTATAAGGGGCTGTTGGCGATAGGAGTCTAGTGGGCGATGCAAAAAGATGGCTTCAGATGATAGAACTCCAGCGATATTGCGGTCATTGTATTTTAAATTGGGAACCATAGGAGTAAAGTGAGTAATGGAAGTCAGAAGGAGCAAAAGAAAAACAGGTGTAAACGAAAGAAGGGAAGTATCATCAGCAGCATGCTTCCGCTAATCCGTCCTACTGTATGCAGTGGATAAGGTGACGATTTCGAAGCTTCGCGACGATCAATGAAGGATATGGTTGTAGTTTTCCAGCTAAACGATTGGCAAGGCAAAGCGGAACGCGCTCGACACTTAACGCACTAACTGGGTCCGCATCAACTAGCACTGAGCCGTCCGATGCAACGTTGAGGATATGCTGGAGCAATCTGACTCAAGTGATCCAAAATAAGCAGAGAGCTGAGGATAACTTAGTTACTCGATGTACTCTCGTTGCAACTCTGCTTACGCACCATTATGCACGTGGGTGGCGCGAACTCATGACAAAAGCGTAAACTCCCTCAGCACGTAAAATGGCTTTAGCAGTCATATGTCCAGCGTTTCTGATGCAGCCAACAAGATGAATGCACTGATCAATTGCCGCCGGGCTCTTGCTATTACGGATCAAATAAATAGCTGGCGGTTGATTTTCCTGTTAAAGCACTGCGTTCTGAAGATCTAACAAATGTGAAGAAATGAAATCAATCCAAGACGTTTGGTAATGAATGATTGCACATCTTCGCGATTCAAGGAGCAAGGTACTGTTGTTGAAGTAATTCAGACTCACTAGTTTCTTCGAGACAGAACCACTAAACTTGTATCGTGGAACAATCCGCGATAGGTTACGACAAAAGTTGATGGAAGTGGGAAAGTGAAGCAACTGATGAGCGCAACTTGTTTTTGGAAATGTATATGACGGTTCGCTCCATCCTGTGATATGCTCAAATAATTCATGAGAACATCTTTCCGGATAAGAATATGGTCCGGACGAGCTGTCCACCTATGGTCTCAGCACTGATGTGCCGCGGATCCAGTCGCGGGTACTTATTTAAATGTGGTGTTAATAGGCATATATATTGTGGATGGTTCAGGATCATCAGAGTCGGTAGCCGGAGAAATGAGGCGTCTGCCTTGTAACCTAAAAGTTACCGATCTGAATCTGTGTAGGTGCGAACGAGGTCCCAGCATAAGTAGCCCACGTTGGATTGGTGGTGGTCACGTGGCACCGGAGCGTCAGCCCGCGTACTGTTGATAACACTGCGGGGCCCTTTGGGGAATTGAGCGACCGACCGATCGAGTCAGACGCGTTCGTTAAATCGATAAACACGACTACAGCTATCAGGTGTACCTGCGACAATTATCAGCGGCCAATAACCTGACAAGAGCACTTCTAAGACCGGAATTCAAACGAACTGCAATAATGCTCTTTTCTTCTCACCAGCGTTGATTGATATCATCCGCGAGTCACGCACAATTTGTAACGCCCAGGTTGATCTTAAAGCAGCAGGTAACGTTTCGTACTAAATTGCTGTGGAGTTAACAAACGAAACCACTCCTGATATTTCAGAAGCTGATTCGTGAGTAAGACTTATGAGGCTGGTTAGAACAAAAGCATCGACACTGAGAACCTATTTTGCTCATTTGAGATAGCTGATGGCTCGGTCAATTTTGCAGGTGATATAATGCACTGTCCTGGAAAAGGATGTAGAATACCTAAGGAGACTCTTTGAGACAAATTCGTAGTTTCAAGCCACGTACTGTGCAGTAGACCCATTAGGCAGCAGCATGTGCTGATAACTCATTAGAGCCAACTCGCATAACATTTAAATTTCATATTGAATTTGATGAATTAACAGCAACCAGGAGTCAGCTGGGGGCACCGAGCTATACATGCTGATGAAAGTGTCGGCAATAGGCGGCTTCCAATCCATATTCCGAATAGGAAAGCCCAAAGTGCAATCACTAGACCAAACGAACTGTGGTTTGCTTACAGTCGGCCATTGTACTGGACTGGCTACTTAAGCGCCTCGGCCTATGGATGGATGAACTGGGTAGTGAGTTCTGACTTTGCTGACTAGAGGATATCGAGTTTCATTAAAATAAGAACCCTGAGGTCATGCATGGCGCAGGACATACTGCTGATATCACTGTCCTGGTGGCAGGAAATCTGACGGATCAGAGAACTTACTGGGGTCTAAACAACCTGCTATGACCGAGCACGATGCCACCAGACGGGAAAGCACGCGCAAGCTGAAACGAAGCCTGTGAATTGACAGGGAAAGTTGGTGGAAGTAGGATGCGAGTAACTTTCTCAGACTATTCCTGCTAAGCTGAGACAGTAGCCGCAGAAAACCATACACTAAAAAAACTATAAAAAACAGCATAGATACACGGCTTTACAATAAGACGCCACTTGGCCCGTTGGAAAGAGCACTTCCTG